CACCAAATAACGGTTGATAGACCTACATTGGAACAGTGACCGATAAGTTATTTTCAGGTTACGAAAATAGTGCTACAGAAAAACACTAGACAACAAAATATGACGGGATATTTTCAAATACACCATAATCCTTATGAATGTGTGAGTTGAGATTAGTTTTCGAAAGAAAACAGTAAAGTATATTATCTATGCTACATTGATCCGTTGATCCGGGAACGTTCCCATAAATACTAGCCAATATCGGGATTTGCCACAAATCAAAATGAGGCAGAGGAGACCCCATCTCCTTCGTCCCTCTCCCCTTCCCCGCATTAGGTGTCAAATTTTGCTAACTAGCATATATGAATAGGGATAATCCCCAATAGATAGTGAAATTTGCGGTTGCGTCATGAGACGCGGAAATCGTGATGAACCAGCTGTGATCTCCAGATGCATAGGCATGTGATTGAAACGAATGACGGATGAGAATCCCATGCATCAACGCACGAGGTTATCGACAGGTGATTGTGTCCGCCGCAAAGTTTGGTATCAATTAACTGCAAAAACGCGGAACAGGAATCTACGTGCAGACTGATTGATTGCATAATGGGAACAACATTTACGATTGGGGAGAGTGGAATTATAGAAACCACTACAGATAGACAAAACATTCTGTAGGTGTGAACTTTTGTTTGCAGATTTTCAAAAGAAAAGCAATATTACTAACAGTGTCATCAGCAAAATTTGTGCATCATATCTTTTCTTCTGCATTATTACTTCTTTTTCTTGAATATCTAATGATACGATAAGTCTCCAACCGAACGCATTTATCCTCTCACAGAACCAAATTGATTAGCGCCGAAAGACATTTTCGGTGATCTTTGCGGTATCACAGACTGATTGCCATCATCTGGTTCACTCAAGCTACCAAAAAAGGAAAACAATATCCCGTGTCTGAGAGTGATGACTAAGCAGGTAAAATACGAAGGCTGAACAAAAGATTTCTGGATTCACAAAAGTTTTATTTGCTACACAAAAATAAGCATTAAATACTCTTGATGTATTCGCCATCGGCGTTCATGCACACACACACACAGTTCCGTGCGCTCAAACCATTTGATGAAACAACTGGAAAAGAGCAAAGCGAGTAACCTTTTGACCAGTTTCACCGCAGCTGTTGGTGACCCGTAACGCGTTCCATTCATCATGACATTTGGGAACACAGAAAGGTCACATGGAGCCAGTGCTGGACAGTTGGTTGGGTGACTAAACCTTTTAGTTGCGTTCTCCAACCAGAAAACCGATGAAGACATGGGACCGGTGTGCAGGAATGTTACCGTGGTGTTTCTGACACTTTCAGCAGACACTGTATGGTGTATCAATCTCCGGTAATTGTGCTTTACCGTACGAGTGATACAATAGCCACATTACCGGTTTTGGCTATGACCACAGCCACCACCTACTTTGTCACACTGCACTTGCATCAGTATTGCTGAGGCGGAACTCCAACAACCGGTGCCCACTGAGCCAACTGTGGCTTCATTTCCGGGTCGAAACCGTACACATAGGTCTCATCACCATCGGTGATCTCTCAAATTGCGTTGGAACATCAACCATCAAACCTGGCAAGCATGATGCGGCAGAAATTCATCCGAACTGCTTTCTCTTTCTCACTGAGCTGATGAGGTACCCAGTGTGTGCAAACATTTCTTAGGCCGAGTTTCTCATGTAGAATGGTGCGGATTTATCCTGATGAGATCCCGACGGACTACGCCAGCTGTTCCACTGTTTTCCGCGCACAGCAGCAATGTTGTCCGCTGTGGTAGACTCCACAGGTCGACCACTCGCTGGAATTCCACAAACCACTCAAACACGGTGCTAATTAAAGGCGAATTACCACCAACACTGTGTTACTGCTGCCACTGATTTGAATCACCTGTTTTGTCGTAGAAAATCATCGTTCACACTCAGTGACATCGACTGAGTTCCATCCTTTTAGTCCGAGTATAGGGACCTTCGTATGATTAGTGAGCTGTGTTCCGCTGTGTTAATATTTGGTGCAATCGCTGAACAATATTCTCAATAAATTGTAGCCCTCGGATATCCGTGGGCTGAGCACCTTGTCTTTTGCACGCTGGATGATGTCACATGTCACAGCTCGTGGTCGAGTATTTTCACCGCAAGAAGGTGGCACCGCGTGTTCATCCAGCTTATCTACTCTTGTCCTCCTATTCCTTTTGTAATCATGCAACAGCTCGATAATAAATTGATCTATATAGAGTACATAACATCCCTTCGGAGGGTGGCACGGGGTGTAGGCAGAACTTGTGAGACGCCCGTTCACATGAATCAAACTGTTCTTTTTTGTTCGTTTGAAATTAATGAAAAATGCCCATTGTCACATTGAAAACATAGTCCGGTAGGTGTTTTTCGATAAATTTATCAACAGGTTTGTCGATCTGGTTTTGATCGCATCAAACTAAGTACAGATTGTATGCTTGTTTACCTGACATTCATCGCGATTAGTTCGTTGTTGCGTCCCCCGGATGTGGGGTGGATTACTTCATCTGAGGCCACGGCAAGGCGAGAGCCCGACTGAACTGCTTTTGGTTGCACAATGTTGGGATCCAATGTTTGGGTAGCTAATACCTCGGCTGTGCATAAAATGATAAACCATGTTGTTTCGGCGGGGATGATAGCGTGTGGTAAATGGTACCGAAAGCCTGATCAAAATTGATATTGTGTCGTGTCTCCAGTATATAATTGTAATGGCCCGTTGATGAATTTATCGAAAAACAGCGTGTTTCACGTACCGGGCTTTGTTTTCGATACTTGAAATTGGCCAGTTGGAACAATCTGTGTACCATGTGTTATGTCGCCAAATTGCTCCGTGTATATTCATTGCCTACTATTAGGTCGCACAGCACTATATCACAGGAGAACACCACAAGTGCAAAGAACACAAGATATAGCACAGTAACAGTAGTAGCACACGGGAAACGAGAACAGAGGATTAACACTAATTTCGTGAGCGGATGATTGTTCTAAGAGCGGAAGCTACGTAGGCCAAACACAGAGCGCACGGTCGGTTACCGATCTCTCGGGCCTCCCAAACACGAGAGAGAAGACACGACTGAAAATAATATTGACCAATACAAGAAAACGAATGTACCAATGAAATGCACAGTGAGCAATGTTCAAACAGCCAAAGACTGCGGGTCAGACGAAAGGAGAGTGAATATTGTCATACTAAGCAATATTATTGATTTATCTCTGCGAGATAAGTATTGATACGCAATGACCCTAATTTGGGTCGAGTATCTTGTAAAGTTGTTTGATTTTGTTCACAGAATTAGCAAGCATGCAGCCGGGTTTATCTTGGAATGAATGGCACTGATATTCGCCCCAACATTGTGAATTAGACATCACATACCAAAATAGAATTTTTGATGTCACTTTTCAACTGATCCTGTGCATATGGTCGTGTTCTATGAAGCTGAGTTCAAGACTAATCTACGAGTTGCTCTGATTGTTCAAGCTTTCCCCGGGATCGGAGTGAGATTTTAAGTGGAAAAACAACCGAATGCTAGACATGAATAATAATAAATATCTTTTTACTTCCTTTTTCTATTTATTGATTATACAATTGTACAGTTAACTTTCAGGAACGGGGCTGCAGCCATGCAAAGGATGCCTAGGGAATATACAGATGTCGGGAAGACGGGCGGCGATGGAGCGGTTTGAATCCGAGACTCCCAGATCAATAGTTGGTGACCTCATCACTTGGCCACCACCAGCCGGGAATCGAACCCGGGCCTTCCACGTGACAGGCGGAGATACTCACCACTATCAATTTGTCAATCGGTCGAATGAGAGTCAAACACAGAACAGGAGGGGGGAGACTGACTGAGCATAACAATGCGATTGTTGGGTTGTTTATATCCAAATCAGATGTCATTTAAGAGTAGATCGCTCGTTGTTTCATTGAAATAAGTGTTTTGCCACGGTAGAGTTATTAGATAAATGAATATCACAAAGGCTGAGAATGATCAACAGCAACGACGTACTTAATTTTGAAAATATCTGTTTGAGAAACTGAAAACACTGTTGTCCCGTCACAAATTTGAATAGAGAAGTCAGAAACATGGGTTTGCACAATGCATCCATGGTCATTTCGCTGCATTTGTACACGTGCATGCTGCAGTCCAAATGATTTTTATAGTCAGTGAGATAACAGATTTGAGAGAAAAAACACAAGATCGCTAATCACAACGGACAACGCAACGCAAGAACACAAAAAGGGGGACGAGATAGGCCAGGGCAAAGTTAATGTGACTAACCATTCGCGTTGTTTGTATAGAACAGGTTTGACAGTGAGAATGGCTAAGGCCTCGGCAAATTTCAGTAATTTTGTGTTTGTTGTGTTGTAGATGACACGGAATACGTGGGGTGTGGTGACACTGTTTCTGTTCGAGCAAATGTTGCATTATCGAAGATCTAAGCTTTCTCCGATCAATCGATGACGTAACATTTGCAAACTTGCCGTCCATTGATTTCTTAAGCCACACCGGGATGTGTTCGGCCATTCGATGATGTAACTGCCTCTCTGTCCTGCCTATGTAGACGGCTGAGCATCCATACTTGAATTGGTAAATACAATGCAATATGCACGTGTACAGATGCAGCGAAATGACCATAGATACATTCTGCAAACCCATGTTTCTGACTTCTCTGTTCAAAATATCTGTTGTCTTTTTCACCCATATCCTCCCGATATACAATGCCCTCTGAATAATCATACCCCCCGACCGTGCCCCTTTCAAATCAGACTTTCATCAGTCGAGGTCACGAGGAAATCGTGGGCTTATTTCTTACTCACTAAGATGCTCATAAGAAAATTTGATTGACACATTGTGACAAATGGTGGATATTATGAACAATACTAATCATGCTTTAAGATGGTAATTTTCCCGCCAAAATATATACCAATCAGGTGTTTTTATTTCTTCTGTTTCTATTTCATTTATATCACCTGTATTTCGCCGTTCTTGCTTGTCCCGATCATCAGAGTCCGCCATTCCCGACCACGTGTATCGATGTGATTCCCAAGGCACAATCTCGTCCACGGAAATGCCAGAGGATGAAGCCCGTCTTTCTGATTGTAATGCCACGGTGGAACCCGTCGAATCCACTTTACGTGCTCCTGCCACACTGACATCCACCCCTACCTCAACCGCTTCGTCTGTTTCGATGGATATGGAAGGTAGTATGGTCTTATCTGATCCGGAAGTTGAGCGTTATTCTACCCTAAATCGTCATCATCATCGGCGGCGAACAAAAGGAGACGGTGGAACACGAACTATGCGTCCGAATCACAATGTGCGTCACAGTTCTGCGCATCGTGCACCTTGTCGTGTGATTGTTCGTCAACCGGTGATTGATCTTAGTCAAATGGTACTGGTCCCATTTGATGCCGAAGCATGGTCCGGTCCGGTTCTGAAACCTCGTTCTGCTCTCACTGCATCCGAGAGAGCGCAACTGGTTGATCCATATGGTTTGACTCAATTCGATACGACTGGTGGGTCTGATAAGAAATGTGGGGGGACGAAAGATTTGGTTTCACGAAATCGACGTCTGTTTTCCGGAAAACCGAACGAGAAATCGCGTAACAGATGCGATTCCACACCGTCCTCCTGTATGACCGAGGGGAATTTGACGGTACACACTGGCTCGTCTATTCATGACCACTCAAGCAAGGTTGCTACCTTGCACTATGATTCGGACAGTGGAGCAAGTCATCAGTGTAAGTGAAACCACGTAATTGTTATTCAACAAAAACAACTTTATTGTTTACTTGAGATCTGATGAAAACCAACCAGATTGAAACAGCTGTACAGTACTTCATAGTTTTTTTTAGTTCATGCGTCATTTGCTCTATACACAATGAATTCTCCCAATGAAATTGAATCAATTCCTCCATTACACTGATGTAATAAGTAGTCAGATGGTGATAGTTTCCAACCAAGTCATAACCCCGGAGGCTTATGATGAAATGAGCTAGGTGTGAGGCCCGTAACAAGCACGCAAAGATGGATTGTGCTAATTCGCTTAGATGGAAAGTGAAAAAAAAACGGTCTGATCACCTGTCAGGTGACCGGAGTTAGTAGCATGCTTGTGTTCTGCCTGCCGTGGACGACAGTGAAGTGCCATGACAACAAAACGACCTGGCAGGGGCCGGATTTTAAACTGACTCTTCAAATAGAACCAAATACACATTCTGACCACTAGTGTCCATTTTAACTTAGGATTTAAAATAAAACCCCTGAAGTAGTAACCGATTCCTTAATCATCAGTCAGTGATTCATAAAAATTAATAAATGATCATTTAGAAAAATAGCAAAACAACAAAAAAGCACTTCATTTAATCTGATGAAGAAAATATGATTCCCTACCACATTTTTTTAGTACTTTCAAAACTCTCCGCTGTGTGGTTCATCGAAAAATCAAACATTTCGACACAAAACGAGAAAGAGATCTGACTTAGCATATTTCTTTATGGTTCATCTCCCAAATTTCTTGATTCACGCGGTGATTGGATTGTCAAAACAACTATTGAGAATCTGGGATCATGTGTCTGTGTGTCTGTGTGTCTGTTGAGATGTGGTAGATGCACCTAGCAGCCTCGGCTACAGTTATCTTGAATTGCCGTCTGATCCAATCGCGTCATGGTAAAGCCCTCGAGTAGCCTAATGAAGCGTATTCCAACAGTCCGCTTCACCACGCCCGTTACTGTTGCCCATGCTTTTTATTATGTGCTTGAGCGGGGGAGGGCGACAGATCATTCTTAATGAACTCCGTCAAATTGGACCGGCAGTAGACAGAATTTCACACTTGTTCTGTCCTCCCTCTCACTCACTCTCTCTCTCTCTCCCTCTGCCAGAAAAATTATTCATCATTCTTAAAAGTGATTCTGTCGCCATTGTCGCACTGGAAATCCCCTCATCACCTCACTCGCTATTCCTTTCATCATTTTCAT